AGCAGAGCTGGCTGGAGAATTCTGGGAGTTGAAGTCCACAAGTCTTAAAGTGGCCAAGGTTGGAGACCTCTGCCTTAGACCATTTCAGTCCAGTCTCTTCTTAAAAATCTCCAGCGATGGAGCAACCCACAATTTCGGGAGGAAACCTATTCTATTCCTCTGTTTCTCTCCCTCTACAGATTAACAGAGGTGGGACCTTCTAGGTCATCTAGTCCAACCCCCCCACCACCACCCCACCCAAGCAGGAAAGCCTACCGCATTTCTGACAAGAGGGGCAGCCCAGTCTCTCCTTAAAATCCTCCACTGATGAAGCTTTCCCACAACTTCTGGTGGCAAATTGTTCCACTGGCTAACTGTCCTCCCTGTGAGAAAGTTTCTCCTTCAATCCGGGTTAGTTACCACCCGTTGCTGGTGCTTCTGGTGCTTTGGACAATAAATGGACCCCTCCTCAAATACTGAAATATTTCTATCACCTCCCTCTCTTAGTCCTTCTTTGCTCTAGACCGGCCAAACCCAAATCCCGCCACGGTTTCGTCATCGGTTCTCCTAAGTCGTACGGTTCGTATGCCTGCCCACCTGAAAGGGGCCAAGGTGCCATCTTACAAGGTGAGATTGCAGGTGGTTAGGTCACCTCTAATGTTTAGCTTTGAGAGCAGGGGTTCCCAACTTGAGGGGTGCGAGACGATATTCCAGGGGGGTGCGAGAAAAGTCCAGGTAAATAACAGGATATTGGCTCTACGTTGGCATTTTTATTTATTATGCAATGGATTAACTTGGTTTTCATTTTAGAGTTAAGTATCGTTATTTAGTGGCCGTCAGATACATAGCGGAAACGATTCAATCCTACCATATAGTTAACGCCTTCGGTAGTTCCTAAAGTCTAAATTTCAGGGGGGTGCGAGGTTCGAGTGAAATTTCTTTAGGGGTACGGGGCGCAAAAAAAAACCAAAAAAAAGGTTGGAAACCACTGTTTTAGAGGAAGACAAAGGCAAGAGACCTGGTGCACACGGCCACTTTCTCCGGGTCGTGGATGTACGGACAGCTCTCCCCGCGGTTGCATTTCCCGAAGCGGTTGTAGTACATGCAGTATTCTTTCTTTCGCTCCTTCCGCAGCTTGGCCTGGCGGATGATGGCGAGGCTCCGTTGCACAGCGCGGCTGGAGGGAGGCGGAGAAGCAGAGAGGAGGGCTCAGGGTTAGGAAAGGCCTTTTGCAGAGTTAACAATCACAGAATAACAGAAGGGACCGTGGAGGTCTTGTAGTCCAACCCGCTGCTCAAGAAGGAGATCCTATAACCGTGACGGCAGACCTGTGGCCCGTGTGGCACGCAGAGCCGTTCGTGCCGGCACGCGAGCCGCAGGCCAACTTACCTCACTGTGCATGCGTGCGCCTCGCGGCTGATTTTTCGGCTGGTTTGAGGCCTTTTTTTGGCCTCCCAGAGGGTTGAAAAAAAGCCTCTGGAGGCTTTGCAGGGTGAATAATAGGCCTGCTTCATCACTTCCTGTAATATCGGAAGTGACGAAATGGGCCTATTATTTGTCCTGCGAAGCCTGCAGAGGCTTTTTTTCAACCCTCTGGGAGGCCGAAAAAGGCCTCAAACCAGCCAAAAATCAGCCGTGAGGCGTAGTGCACGTAAGGGGGCAATGTGTGTGTGTGTGTGGGGGGGGAATTGTGTGCACATGCACAGGTAGCACGGAGAAGGGCGTGCATTGCCTTCTGGGTGCCGGCACATGAACTTCACAAATTTTGGCACAGGAGCCCCAAAATATTAGCCACCCCCCGTCCTGTAACATTTTAGACAAATGGCTGTCCAATTTCTTCTTAAAAGCCTCCAGTGATGGAACACCCAGAATTTATGGAGGCAAGGCGTTGCACTGAGGAATTGTTCTCGCTGTCAATGGGGATACAGAATAACAGGGTTGGAAGGGACCTTGGAGGTCTTCTAGTCCAGCCCCTGCTCAAGAAGGAAAAAAGCCTATAACATTCTGGACAAATAGCTGTCCACAATCTCTTCTTGAAAACTTCCATAACATCAGCCATAACATCAGAAGGCCAGGTCTTAAAGCCGTAAGGGAGGGGAATCCCCAAACTCTGGGTTTTCGGGCCCTGCCAAGGTTCTGGGGGGATTCCTTGGGAGCATGGAGACCCCTCCACCCCCCAAATCATCTTGCCTCTAGAAGTTATTGGGGCTCCATCCCTGGTGGGTTTTTTTATGAAGAGACTGGACAACCGCTTGTCTGGAGTTCTGGAGGCAAGCAGTTCTACTGTAGTCTTGTTAGTTCTTATGATCAATGGGGATTCAGAATAAGCAGAGTTGGAAGGGACCTTGAAGATCATCTAGTCCAGCCCCCTGCTCAAGAAGGGAATCCTACTTCGTTTTAGGCAAATGACTGTCCAGTCTCTTCTTGAAAAGCTCCAGGGATGGAACACTCACAATGTCCTGCCCCGGGTGGAGACGGACTCCGAGGGAGAGGAGGAACAGCCGACAGGGAGTGGGAGTGGGGCTCCGGAGGTTGTGGAGGAGGCGGGAGAAGGACAGAGGCCGGCTGGACAGGCAGAGGGAGACCCAGGCCCATCCCCTCTCCATCCTAGGGCACGCAAGGAGGAGCGGATAAGGGAGAAACGTGAGTGGTGTGGTCTACGGGGAAGGAAAGGGCCCTGATCCCCTTCATGGGCTGCAGCTGTGACAGCTGAATAAGGGGACGGACACGCGTACGGGCGAGTGCTGGAAACAAAGCATGGAAATATCTCTAGTTTATGGTTCCTCTCTTGAGTTTGGCGTCCTTCCCAGTGTGTGTTATCTGTGGACGTCCTCCAGCCCTTTTCTTGCCTGGTTTGTGTGGCTTTTTCCCTTCTTCTTGTAACTGTTTGTGGGGGAGTTTTCTGTCTTCCGTCAGGAATATTCGGAGCTTGGAAGCAAAGTGAGGGAATCAAAGGGGCTTCACCTGTTTTCTCTGACTGTGTTTGTTTTGTATCCCACCCGGGGTCATCACACCACCCCTGGAACCACTGTAAGGAGAGGAATACCTGTAGTGTGAGAAGCGGGGTGGGTGGGTGGGGGGAGGAAGGAGGGAACGGCAAGCTAGAAGGCAGGAAAACAAAGGACAAGACCTTCTACTAATGAATTGTTCTTACTGTGAACGGGGATACAGAATAAGCAGAGTTGGAAGGGACCTCGGAGGTCTTCTAGTCCGACCCCATGCTGAAGAAGGAAAGCCTATTCCATTTTAGACCAACGCTTGTCCAATCTCTTCTTGAAAATCTCCGGTGATGGAGAATCCGCAACTTCTGGAGGCAAAGACATTTCTCCTTAATTCTAAGTTATCTCTCCCCAAGATTTGGGGGGTAAGGGGGGGTAGACAGGGTGGGTTAGGGAAGAAAAAAAACGAAGCAGACCCCCCACCCAAATTAGAACCAGAAATGAAGTGGGGGGACGACGGAGAACAGGTTGAAATTTCCTGAGAACGGGGAACTCCCTACGTCCAGACGGCGTATAATGCGGGTATCGATCACTTTAATTCCCTCAGTATTGAGTAGCCAACCGTTGGAACGACATTATTAAAGCATTTATTGAAAAGAGCAGGGACAACCCCTCTGGGTGCCGGTAACATTCGAGCAATTCTTTCAAGAGCGGTGGGGTAAATATCTAGCAGGGGTGTTCATTAATTTGGGCATTGTTAACCTGCATCAGTTCCCTCGCCGGGATTAAATGACTGCGCTGTATAAATATGTATTAACACCTCCCTGTGAGCCTCTCTTAGTGTTCTTGGCTCCAGGCAGCTGCCAACCGCCCAAATTCACTCGGAAAGGCAACAAAATAAAGAGAATTTGGAAAGAGGAAATCTAAGCCGACGCGAAGTGACCCGCGGTGAGCCCCTCTTCGACTTAAGGGAAGGGGCTGTGGATGAGAAGTTCGATTGCTCCCAGGAGACAGAGCGATGGGTCGTGGCTACTCACTGGCCACTCAACGAAGGAAATGGGATTTGATAACTAAAAGCACCTGATATTTGGGTTCCTGGGACAAATTGTCACAGCACCTGGAGGCTAATTTTTAATTAATTAATTTGATTTTCATGCTGCCTATATTGCTTTATAAGTAACTCAAGGGGGAGAGTATAGCTGGTCCTCCTTCCTCCTCCTAATTTCCCCACAACAACAATGCAGTCAGGGACGTTGGGCTGCGGCAAAGAGACTGACTCAAACTCACCCAGCTGGCTTTGGTGTCTAAGGTAGAACTACAACTCCCAGGTCTCCTAGTGATTGGCCCAAAGCCGCCCAACCGTCTTTCGTGCCTAAGGTAGAACTACAACTCCCAGGTCTCCTAGTGATTGGCCCAAAGTCACCCAGCCGTCTTTTGTGCCTAAGGCGGGACTAGAACTCCCAGGTCTCCTAGTGATTGGCCCAAAGTCACCCAACCGTCTTTCGTGCCTAAGGTAGAACTACAACTCCCAGGTCTCCTTGTGATTGGCCCAAAGTCTCCCAGCCGTCTTTCGTGCCTAAGGTAGAACTAGAACTCCCAGGTCTCCTAGTGATTGGCCCA